TCTGCTTTCACAAGGAGTAAGGGAAGTCAGAAGAAGCGTGTTCTTCCTTCTACTTCCTGCAGTGAAGACAGTGCCAGAAGCCGAGTTAAGCTATTTCAACTTCAGCTATGCAATTAACATAGCTGAAGTTGTGTATCTTAATTCAGCTTTGTCCCATAGTGTAGACATACTCTGTGTTAAATAGGAAAAATGTGAATTTGATCACAATACAATCAAGTTTGTCAGGTGTATCATATCAATGGAACCACGTATAGATGTCTTAGGTGGTCAGCCTAGGCTTAAAGATCTGAGATCGTGTCATGAGCCCACTGTTTGCCGGTCTCTGGTGGAACTAAAACAAGGAACTTAGTTTCATGGAAATTCATGGTGACTAGGTATGCACTGGTATGGACCAGTATAACATGAAATATGCTAATTTCTGCAACTTGGTCTCCTCCAGGCATTGTGCACCTCATATTAGTCCTTAACCAGCACGTCCCTGGCATTCCTTGTATAGTTACCTTGCTTCCATGCTTTTCCAGTGGTGCTAGATGCAGTTGACCTCTTAACTAAAATGACGCACTTAGCTTCTTCTCACACAGTCCCCACTACCTCACAAACAGCCTGCCTCTTCCTAAGCATTTCTTCTGGCTCCACAGACTGTTTACTGTGTCAGAGAGAGACTCACAATTTGTTTCCCATTTCTGGCACAGGTTTTTAAAACTCCTGCATATAGGGTTCTTTACCTCATTAGCATACCACCCATAGGCCAATGGACTGACAGAACAGATAAACCAAATCATAGATCAATATCTCCAGTGGTTCCTAAAATATCAGCAGGGTAACTGGGTCTTCCTGCTGCCATAAGTCAAATTCACCTACTACAATCCAATCCGTGCTTCTACCCATCAGACCTCATTCCACGCAAATTGCAGCTTCTATCTCTGCTTTCATCCAGTATTGCCCACAAACTGCCTAGTTCCCACCTGACCCATCTGAATCATCCACAAAAGCTTCCAAAGAAACCCCTACAAGTGTTATGTGGATTGGGGTTGCCAGGCCAACCTAACTTTAGGATTGGGGACAAACTCTGGCTATCAACTCAGAATCTCAGATCAACCCAATTATCAATAGCTAAGGTGGTTCAAGATTCTCAAGCAGATCAACCCAGTGATATTCATGTTTCTATTACCAGACAGTGAAAATCCATCCTGTGTTCCCTAAATACTACAGGACTTTCTTCAAGCCAAGTAGCACAGTCTGAGGGCCCCTAGAAGGTACATTTGAAAGTGGGCAGTACTGTCAGAACTGGGCACTTACGTTCCTTCAGCTAAGCCTGAGGGCTGGCTAATTAAGCTTTCAGGCATGTTAATGAGCCCTGCTGGGCCTAACTGACCATCCCCACCTGATTAGCTGAAAAGAGCCAAAAGACCTGCATTTAAGCTCTGCAGCTGCAAGTCACTCATCTGAGCAGGCCTTATTCCCAGCCCTACTTCAGCTGTTCCAGCCTGATCCTCCCTCTCCCCGCATTGCTCCAGACCAACTCCTGCCTAGCGCTTGTCCAACCCCAGACTGCTCCAGCTCTGACCCTAATTCTGGCTCTGGCCCTTCCTTGGCTTTGACACAGAGCTATCCCCTCCAACACCAGAGTAATTCCCAGCCCCCTCCCTCTGTCATGCATCAGTGCTATTCCTACCCCCCCCCAACAACACACCAGAGCTATTCTCCACACATACACACCACAGCTATTGCCCAACACGCACACCAAGCTATTGTGAGTTGTATGCATGTGTGGGGAGAGGTATATGTCCTAGAGCTATTGTTACACACACATACATGTGTGCAACCTAGAGCTACTACCCCTCCCACACAGGCACCAGAGCTACTTCACACATACCCCCCCAAAGCTATTGCCCCCCACAAGTGCACACCCCCTTTGCACACAAGCACCAGAGCTATTATCCCAATTCCATCTGCATGCACACGCGCGCGCACACACACACACACACACACACACACAAGAGCTATTACTGCCCCCCCAAGTAGCACAATGGTTCCATCTCCCCCACACACATAGGCACCACAGCTATTAACTCACACACCCACTTACATACACTAGACATATTCTACTTACATGCACACACACCAAAATTATTACCCCCCACACACACCACTGCTTCTGCACCCTCCCCATCTACACACGCACCAAAGCTCTTTCCTCCTTCTTCCCATCACACTGCCTACAGGAATCCTAAAACTCTGGGCATAGGTTTTGGGTGCCAGCTTTGTAAGGGAGTCGGCTGTCACTGCTGCACAACCCCAGGGAGTGTGTATGTTGAACAATCACACAAAACCAGAAAGGAGCAAGGTTTTCATTGTATAGTTGCACACCTATGCACAGAAACACACATGCCACAATGCTGTTTGAACACACAGTACACACACACATATACATACTAAAGGAACTGTCTCTCATATTGCACCATCAGCCTTGTACATTTGGGGCAACGTCAGCACACTATCATGCCTAAGTTCACAGTCATGTTGCACACACGGAGGGATAACACATCCATTGCACCATCACCCGCCCCCAGTGGAGCTGTGTGAAACTGTTTCCCTGTGTGTGCACAAACACTAGAGGCCACTAGTCCACCGCACAATCACATTTATCCCTGCTCACTGATAGCAGTGTGATGGGTTTGATTCACACACGTCACAACAATGGATCGCCATGATCTACTTATTCATGGGGAGGAGTTGTGTCTCCTGATTCGCAGGCCCCCTTCGTTCCTCCGGACACTCATGGCAAAGACTGTTGCTGGCCTCCCCCTCACACACGGAGTTCTAGGATGCAGAAAGGAGAGTGATCCTTGCACTGATGGAGGGGATTGGGCTAGTTATAGGTGGCTGGCATACACTCTCGTAGCTGTCTCAGACCCCCAGAGTGGTGGTGGGGATGTTGAATGCCCACAGACCAAAGACAATTGTGAGTCTCCGCATGCATGCATATATACCCCCTGGCTTAGCCTCAGACTGTAACACTGTGCACTGATACTGCACAGATCTATTCACTCACATACGCACACCCCCACTTCACGTTTCCTACACATCCTCGCACACATACCTCTCCAACATACACTCGCCCTACACCCTCTCATATGCCTCACCACACACACTCTACACACCTTCACCCCAGTGCTCACACCATTACACACTTGTACGCACATGTGCCTCCTTCCTGCACGGTTACCCTGCCAATGCACGCATGCGCCAGGCAGGGCACTGGAACAATGGGTGCAAGAGGAGCAGCAATGCCTCTTCTCTTGGCAACTGAATCCCTGGCTTCTGTCATACCCAGGTGTTACAGTTTTATTCAATGATTTGCTGCACCACTGCTCCAGTACACATAACCTCCAGGCTTACAGCTTCCAGGGCACCCACCCTAGGCATCCCACCCCACTCTCAATGCACATCCCCCCAAATGCACCCACACCTTACAAATGCACACTCCCGAATCACATGGAGGCTAGAGCACTGATCCCTATCCCCTGCCCCACATCCTTCCTGAGTTGGCCCCGCCTACGGTGCTCCTGTTAGAAAGACAGCCAGTTGGAGCTGTTGGAGGAGTGGGGTGGGGGAGAGCAGGGCAGAGGAAGGGAGGAGGGTGGGAAGGATGGTGTCAGACACAGTGTTAGTTCAGCCCCAGAGAGTCGCTCTCAAAATAAAAACCGGACACAAGAGCAGCATGCCCCAGTCAGTCCCAGCATGCCATGCGGTATGTAGGGCCAGCAGCACCACCCGTGGCGGGAGTGGGGATGACAGCCACGGCATCCAGTGGGGTTAATGATACAATGTGCAACCAGCTACACCCATGGGGAGAGATTCCCAATGGGGTTGGAGGTCATCCCCTACAGGCCTGGTCCAAAGGAGACTCAGGTTTGGAGAAGGTGTGAGTGGCTAATCCCATGGAACTCTCCAAATGTACAGTGCAGAGGGGCAGTGTGAGGGGGAAATGCAGCTTGCACCCCCAAAATGTCCAAATTAATGATCCCTCTTTTATTGCCCCCTTGTGCTCCCTCCCCCAATCAACCTCTGGCCCTGACCCCACTGGCTGCCATAAGCCCATTTCCCATAATCCCTGGCGGGCTCGCCGCCATGGAGCAGATGTGACGCGCACAGAAGTTGCTTCATGGGATGGTGTTTTCCATGGATTTTTTTTGTTGTTGTTTTCGGGGGAGGGGAGGTAAAAGGAATAAAAATGTAAAACCAAAAGAGTAAAAATAAAGAAATAATATATTTTTACTTTTTTATTTATTTTTTGAAAAAAATCCAATAAAGTTAAAATATTTTGCTTTTAGAAAAGAAAAAAATAGTATTTTTCCCAAAAATAAATAAAAATATAAATAAATTAAAAATGTTGCTTTTGGAAAAGAAAGAAAAAGACTTCTTTAAAATGTTTTTGGTTAAAAAATGTTAATTATAAGCTGAGAGGTTCAAAAACAAAGGATTTTCTTAATGCCCATTTGATATACTGGTTTTAATCTTACACCAACATGGGTTGTATTGGTTATCATCAATTTTATACTGACATTGATTTTTGGTTAATGTCAATTTTATACCAACTTTGGTTTAGTCAATAGACTGGTGTTCAATCGATACCCATCTGCATTTGATTGCATGGGGAGTTTTTTATTCTTTTCTTTTTATGCCAACTCTGCTCTGGCAGCAAGGTTGATTCTGCACGGATTCCAGAGTGGTTGAACAGTCATTTCCAGTTCTTGACTTCAGACTTCTCACAGTTTGATTGTTTAGTTGTTAATCTCATGTTCAGGTAGGTTAGTTCAACCTTTCCCTTTCAAAAATTGCATTTCACTTTCTTGTGTAATAGTTAAAGAAAAAATAAGAAATTAAAATAATGATAATTAAAAACCCAATTAATTAATTAAAAATAAAAAGGAGGGAAGGGGAAAAGATAAAACCCACGGCAAACCAAACGATTAGACAATTAGAGTGATATCTACCAGGTAATGCAGTTTGTTTACCATAGCGTGTCCAATTCCTGCGTGCTATATGTATTTTAAAAATAAAATAAATGAGGGAAAGGGGGAATAATAAAAAAACAGAAAAGAAAAGGAAAAAATGACCAACCGTGAAAATCAAGGAAGATAAAAGAGGGGTAAAAATCAATTTTCCCATCGCAAGAAGAGCGATCAGGTTTAAAAAAAAAAAAACTCTGCCCACCTTCCCCTCGCATATCCCACTCCCCTGACCAAACCCCCAACCATAAAGTATTATAGAGAGAGAGAGATCTTGGTTAGTAAGAATAAAAGAAAGGAAAAGAGACTAATTTAAATAAAGACTTGAAAAGAAATGACCAACATTCCATTGGATGAGACAAGGAGGGTTAGTTCTGGCATCTCTGGTTGAGAGCTGGAGTCTTTTGAGAAGCGTGTTAGTAACACACACACAAAAATTGTCAACGTAATTTCTAACGAGGTGGGGATTTGGGGGGTGAAGGGTGGGGAGGGGGAAGGAGGAAAAGCAAGGCCTGTGTTAGCAGGATTAGTAGAACCTAAGTGGCTGGCTCTGGGGTCAGCAGGGAGTTGGGGAGCAGATGTATCCCAAGTCAGGGGAGTCCAGATTTTGTCTTGTATGTTGTGCAGGGAGGAGTGTATTACTGGGGAAGTGCTGGGGGCAAGTTGGAGGGAAAGGAACCAGATCCCCCATTCCAATTCCTGAGACAATTAAAAATTTGTCCTGCCTTTTGTTATTTTTCTTAATTAACTTTAGTCCAAAAAAGGGAGCAAATCAAACACAAAGTTAGAAGGAAAAGCCCATCTGGAAGGGGAGCCTCAGTCTGCAGGCAGTGAGGGGGCGGGGTGAGCTAGATGCACCCCATGCACCCACTCCTTGGACTCCTCTGGTTCACCCCCACCTAACCTCCTCATACATACCAGCCCCACCCATCTACCCTTCAGCCTCACCCACCTCCTCCACTTCCCCCAGTACACACCAGCCCCACCCATCTCCCCCTCATACCCTGAAACCAACATTCCCCACCTCCTCACTACACCGCTACAGCCCACACTTTAACTTTTCCACTGCCTCGTACTTCCACTCTCTACCCCTACTCCTCTTTCCACTGCGCAAAGCCCTCCCCACTGGCCAACCCAATTCCTTATGCAACTCCCCTCACCTTGCCCCAGCCTCTCCCCACCTCCCCATCATATCCTCACTTCCAGCCCCTCAGGCCTCAATGCAGCCTGCTCCTGCCCCCAGGAACCTCCAGTGAGTCAACAGACCATGCCTAAGAATGAGGCTCCCCCAAACAGTCACAGAGAAATAAGAACAGTCTAGCCAATTGGTTGGTCAGACCCAGGGACTCTGTCCCGTGGAGTGGAAGGGGCCCTGCAGTCCAGATACCATGGGGAAGCGTGAGGAGTATCCAACCCAGGGGATATCATGGGGCATAACCTCCTCCCCAATGCAATGCACAGTCCATTTCCAAAATTTCCCAGCACTCTGGGTTTCCCCGTCTATTCTACCACTTGACCCCAGCCCTCTCCCAGAACTGGGATAGAGCACAGGAGTCCCCTCTATGAGGCTACTGGGAAATCATTGGGTGTTTAGCAGTGGGATGAATGGCTGGGGCAGGGGTCATGCCAGGCCCGGAGAGGCAGGAGGGCTCCCATCTATTTCCCCTTGGTAGCTATGCTGTAGCATCATGCAGGCCGAGATAGTCAAAGATGCTGGGAGCTGCCAGTTCTGATCAGTGCAACGGGCAGATCTGTGCAAAGCACATAGGCCACACTACCAAGAGGCAACAATTCTTTGCTGCACCAGCTACTAAGGGATAAAAGGAACTGACCCTTGGGTCGAGGGAACAGCACACACCCCCAGGACGTACCTTGCCAGCCCAGCACAGAGTGATGTACAGTGCAGCCCATACCCATCTGTGCATGGGCTGGGAGCCAGGACTCCTGGGCTCTGTTCCTGACTCCAAGAGGGGAGTGATGTCAACTGGTTGGAGTGGGGGAATTAGAATCAGGACTCCTGGGTTTTTGCCTGGTTCTGGGGGAGGCCCATATATCATTTTTGCTCTCCCCCAGACAGCCACTCCCCCTCCCTTATGCTAGATTAGAGACAACATCCCCTAAAGGGGAAAGACCCCATGTACCGTTCCCCAAATCAGCCACAAAACAGCCTTCCTATTAGTTGTGGTGGCTAATTGCACCCCCTGATTCCTGGCCTTCGCTGGGGAAGGCTCAGGACCCCCAGGAGGTAATGGGGGAGTCCCCTGAGGCGAGTCCATGGAAATTAAGGCACCTTGTGGACATGTCACTAACCCACTGCGGCCATCTCCGCACTAGCTCAGCTCCAGGAGGAAGGGGTAGGGGATATATTTTAGAGGGCAATGCTCTTTTTGGGAAGGGGCAAGAGAAAATTTAGGGGTTGAGGGGGCCCCAGGTTAATGTGTTTGACACACCCTCTTGTTGGCATCTGGACTGCTGGGGGGACGACAAAGAAATGAACAGCTCCCAGTCCATTTATCCCTGGTCACTGGCATCACAGCCCATGCACCCATACCCACCCTTGGCACTGTGAAGGCTGACTGGCTGGATATTCCCATCCCAGCAATGCTGTCCAGAGAGCACATCGTTGGGACACAACCCTCCAGCAACACTGGGGAATGGGGGCACATCACAGACAATGCTGCCCAGGGAGGATCACTGGTGGAAGCCCCCATCCTGCCCAGCCACGCGGGTCCCAGACAACGTTGGTGCGTACCTGGCGCAGGTTCCGGGTCACCCGGATGTCATGCCAGTTGTTGTCATTGAACTTGCCGTTGACGGGCTCCACCAGTGCCTCGAAGGCGCCTGACCCCAGGTTGATGACCAGCCACACGGCTCCACTCTTCAGTGACAGGTTGACATAGTCGGCCGACTTCCCCGTGTGCAGCATGAGGCCGTTGCGCTGCAGGGTGCGGAAGGACAGCGTGATCTCGTCAGTGCTGCTCTGGATCGGGTTGTGGGACAGGTCGTAGCAGAAGAATTCGTTGCCCTTGAAGGTTGCTACGTATTCCTCCTTCCCTGCACAGAGAAAGTGGCCTGGTGAGAGGAAGCAGGTGCATGCAGGCTGTATAGGCACAAGGTGTGGACAACATGTAAGAAGGGGGCAGGAGCCCGCAGGGTGTGTGCATGGTGGCAGTTGGTCAGAAGGGGGCAGCTGCAAGAGGACATGTGTGCACAAGGCGGGATTAGAGTGTGTGAGAAGGGGACAGATACACTAGGGAGTGTGCACACAAGGTGGGTTGGGAGTGTGCAAGAAGGGGACAGGTGCACTGGGGGTGTGTGCACAAGGTGGGATGAGAGTGTGTGAGAAGGGAGCAGGAACACTAGGGGGTGTGCGCACAAGGAGGGATGGGAGTGTGCAAGAAAGCAGAAGCACTAATAATGAGTGCACACGGGGTGTGTATAAATATCATCATCATTTTGCGTTTGTTAATATTCATTTGTAGAGCCCAAAGCACTCAACTGTAATTGGTGCCCCATCATGCCAGATGCCAATCCGTCCCCCCGCCAGCCAAAATTGAGGCCCCTTCTTGTGGGCACTGCACAGACCCACAGAAAGAGACAATCCATATCACAAAGAGTTCACAGTCCAAACAGACATAGGATGGGTGGGGAAACTGAGGCACTGAGTGAGGAAAGAGACTCACTCATCAATGGCATAGTTGAAAATAGACTGCCAGTCTGCCCCTGCTAGAGATAGGGATGGAACCAAAGAGTCCTGACTGCCAACCCCTCTCGTCCCCCACACTAGACCCCACTCCCACCCCAAAGTCAGGACAGACTGCAGGCAGCCTGCACCCCTTGCCACCCCGTAGGCTGCTATATGCTAAAGCATCTTGTGTGTTTCTGTGCACGTGTCTCTTTCAGTGTTCAAAATATGAGGAAGAAAGGGGTCCTATCTGGCAAAGGGCTGCTTGAATTTAAACAGTGGTAAGTAGGGATGTTAGGTATCGGGTCTTTGAATAGTCATGTGACCACATAAAATCTTATCAGTTACCCGACTATTCAATAGTCCCCGGGGGTAGGGCCAGCAGCGAGTGTGCTCCGGACCCCACTCCTAGGGAACCTCCTGCCACCACATGCTACTACCTCTGTATCGGAGGCCGAAGCATGGAGTGGCAGGGGTGACCAGTCTGTGAGGGGAACCAGTTTAAAAACCAGCTCCTCTTGTGGACTGGCTCCTTCCCCGCCCTGCTGCCTCAGATACAGAGGCAGCAGCATGGGGAGGCAGCAGCTCCCAGCAGGCCCAGGCCCACTGGAGACAAAGGCTACTTCATGGCAGTCTCCCCCATCCACTGCTGCCTCTGATACCAGTGCGGAAGGGGAAGGGGATGCAACACCACAGAACAACTGCTGAGGGAACCAACTGTTAAGCCGGCTCCCCCCAGGACCAACTCCTGTCCCCCTCCCCCATTTGCTGCCTTTGATACAGAGGCAGTGGGGGCAGGGGGAATGCGAGTAGTCAACTACTCATTGACAACACCCTAGTAGTAAGAAGTAAGAGAAGCCAGGCAGCCCCAAAGCAGGGGTGGGCAATAATGTTTGACAGAGGCCACCCCAAGAATTTGGTAAATGGTCAAGGGCCTCACTTTTCTGTGATCCCAGTGGAGGTAGGGTGGGGTCTGGGAGTTTGGTGAAGAAGAGGTTGTGGGTGCAGGAGGGAGTGTGGGGCTTTGCAGAGAGTTTGAGTGCAGGAGTGGATTCTGAGCCTGCTCCCAATCCCCTATCTTCCATTCCTCAAGCAGAGATGTCCTCGCCCTCTGGCCCAGCACCGCCGGTGAGAGAAGTCTCTCTCTGCTGCCAGCATCTGCCAATTAACTTGCCATCTGGTGATGCTGAGGAAACAAATTTGCCTGTCTCGCCAGTGCTCAGCCCCCGCAATCATTGTGTTAGTGTCAGCACCAGCCAGCCATGGCAGCAATCAGAGCCCATCAGGACACAGGGGCTGGAGGAGACGAGGGGTGTGGGGGGGGCTAATTCCCTAACAATCCCCCGCACCGGAAAACACAATTTCCTAAAGAGCTGGCTTTCTGTCATGAGATGTGCTCACAGACAGGCAGCTCAGCCCAAGCACCCACACCTAGCTTGCCAGGAGTAATGTTACACCCAGAAGCAACTCCACTTAAGAGTCCTGGACAAAAAGGCAGGACATTTTTGCATCACTGTTGCTGCCTGACCTGCGGACAGCGCCCTCTACTGAGCCTCCCACTCCACAGGCTACAGCACAGCGCCCCCTAGTGCCGCACTGGCTGCAAAGGGAGTACTCCCAACTAGAGATGTTAAATATCGATTAATTGAATAGTCGATTAACCTCATGAATTCTTATCGGTTAGTCGACTATTCTATAGTCCCCGGGCAGCCCCTGTGGGGGGGGAGGGGAGGTCTGAGCTCTTGGACCCGGCACGAGCTGGAACTGAGTCAGGCTGCCTGCATGCCTGGCTCCTAATGCACTTTAAATGCAGAGCTACAGCAAGGGCAGGTCCGGGACCCAGTGCAAGCTGGGACTGAGCTGGGCTGCTCACCAGCCTGCTAAAAAATTTACTGGCAAGGGATGGGCAGGAAATGCAGGTAGTCTACAGTATTAACCTATACGCTTTTGCTTATCAGTTAATTGGTTAATCGGCTATACTATTGCATCCCTACTCCCAGCTGCACACACTGCAGCACACTAGGTTTAGGATTACGGTTAACCCAGAACATCATGATGAAAACTCCTCTGCCTTGTTTTAGGATTAGGATTTTATATCACATACCTAACTCAGCGTAAAACAATAATACGTAGCTCTCATCCTGGATTTTTCATCCTTAGATCTTAAAGCACTTTGCAGAGCAGGTCAGCATCATAACTCCACTTCACAGAGGGGTAAACTGAGGCACAGATCAAGGCTGGGATTTGCTCAAGGTTATCCAGCAGCCAGCGGCAGCACCAGGAATGGACCTCGGGTCAGCAGAGTTCCAGACTGGTGCCCATTAGGCCACACTGCCTCCCCACACCTCTCCTCTGCATTGCAGACATAGGCCTAGGCCCAAAGCAAATTCTCCAGCTGCTTGCAACCACCCCACCCCAGAAGGTTCATCTCAGACAAACTCCCGGCCCTCAGGCCATCTATTGCCACTTCCCCAGCCCATGAAATCTTTCAAAAAGGTTATTTAATCAGACCACATTCCTACCAGCCTGGGGAGTGAAGGGGGTGAGAAGCAGGCAGTGCATAGGGACTCACCTATGTACATGGCTCCCAGACACACCCAGGCCCCCACCCCACCCACCAAGGCCAGCACCCACCTAGTCCCAGTTGCAGGCAGCAACACTTGGTCTGGGAAGCTGCGCTAGCTAATCCACCGCAGTGTGAACTGAGCTGGCCAGGGAGCTGCCCGAGCAGATGCATTTCTGCAGCCAGCGGGGCAGGGCCGATGGGTTTCGCTTTTGAATACCAGGCCAGGGGAACCCAACATGGGGACGCAGATGTGAGCAAGGAGGGGAGGAGGTGGGATCCCTGTGCAAGGGCACAGATGTCAGCAGGGGGCATCCCAATGCCAGGCCTCTCTCACACACAGCACCTCTCTAAGGCTACATCTACACTACCGGGTTATTTCAAATAACTCCTGAAATAACTATTTCAAAATAGTGCACCCACACGTCAGGAAGCCTCGAAATGAGTCAGAGGCAGGCTGATGTGGATGCTCTATCTTGACTTAGAGCCCCAGGAAGCACTGGGGAGTAATTCCTTTGCATGACTCTGGGGAGTAGTTATTTCGAAATAACTGCAGCTGAGCGTCCACACTAACCCTATTTCGAAATAGGCATTATTCCTCGTAGAATGAGGGGTTATTATTTCAAAATAACAAGCCTGTTATTTGAAATAATTTTGAAACAACAGGCTTGCCGTATGGACACACACCTTATTATTTTGAAATAACGGGAGTTATTTCAAAATAACTCTGCAGTGTAGACATGTCCTAGCTGTGCTGTCTGCCTGGCTTTTCGCTTTAGTCCCTCTCTTTATGGCCCAAGGCTATAAAATCTAAATGAAACAAAAACCACAGCCCAGCACAGATCACCCCTCAGCCCTCCCTCAGGCTCCTGGTACCTGGGTCTGCAGAACCTAGGATCAGGCCTTCATGTGCCAGTCTGACAGCTGAGGAGGGTGACTGTGAGAAATGTCCCTGGGGGACCTCGCTGTCCCAGCCTGCTCCCACACGGCACAGGGAGTGCTAAGTAGCCAGTCAACTCAACCCCTTGGCCTCCCCTGCAGCAGCCAGGCTCCTAAATTGCTTATTCAGGGCTCTGTGCTGGCAGGATATAAATCACCTCAGTAGGGCCAGGCTGGGGGAGCAATTAATTCCTCGCTAACCCCAGGGCCACACTGCCTGGCTCCCTCCCAATCCCCCAGCCCCGCTCTCAGTCCCTTGTAAGCACTTTTCCATGCCCTTGGACTGGATCCACCCCTTAGAGCCATCTGCTTGCACCCCATACACTGGCTGCCCATGGAGGACTCCCAACTAGACCTGGGGTGCAAAAGAGAGGAGCGATTGGGAAGGGGGCACTCAGAGAAGATGACCCCAAGGGACAGTCCTGAAGGGGAAAAGGGGGAAATGAAACTGAATGAGAAAGACGGGGGGGGGGGGGGGACAGAGTGGAAGCTGGCATTCATAGAGGCATTAAACTGAGGCATGTATCAGGGAGGGACACCGGTAGCAGGATGTTGGAGAATGGGGATTGTGGCTGGAGCTGGAGTGGATATGGTAGGGCTGGAAGGAAGGGGGTTTAGCTGAAGCCACTAGAACGGGGCTACTCAACTTTGGAAACCCAGGGGCCACAATGATACTCACAGAACATGCCAAGGGCCACAACTTAAGTGCGGTTGCATATACATGCAAATATATATGTAAATATATGCAAATAGCTTCTTTCACACTGATGGGCATGAATACAAAGATTAAGGCAAGACTACACAACATGCAGGCCCCATCTAAGTCAGTTCTGCTGATATTAATAAAATGCAACATTTACCTGATTT